CCATGTGGTCACCTCCAGGGCAGGCGGGAATCGAACTTATGCGGAAGCGGTTTTAGATTCTCAGTGCTGTGCTTTAGCCCGCTGCGCCACCAGGGAGGGCCCCACAAAATTTATTTTAAGTCTTATTGCTAAAAGCTTCTCAGCACATTTGTACATTTTCAGGTGATACGCATTTTTTTCAACACCAAAAACCGTATTTTATACATTGGATTGTGGTTGATAAACTTGCTTTTATTTTATAAGGCTTTTTTTGGGGGGGAGAAGAGGGAGAGAAACCAAAACTGGGGAAAACAGGCTTCTTAACAGTCCCAGCTGGAGGGACAGGCTAGCTTGGCTTGCAGTTAGGAGGGGAAGACATGGGCAGTTTCACCAGCAGCATTGTGGGGGTTACTGTTCTCCAACAGAGACCTAAGTTTATAGAAGATACTGGTCCATTTCACAAGGTCAGATTCAAGGATGTTCAATTTCGACTTCTCCGGCTTCTCTCCATTCAAATCTGGAGGGTATTGCTTGGCCCATCTGATCCATATGTTACTTCCAGACAGTTTCCACTGGCTGGAATCTGAGGGCTGCAGGCAGTCCGTTGTGAGGCCTCACATTGTGGGCTCCTTGAACTTGGAGGTGCCCTGCACACTGTGCTGTTGGTGCTCCTGATCCTGCACCTGGGGCACTTCCTGTTCCAGCAGCGACCCATGCAGGGCAGTGGGGCAAGGCTAACACCAGGTATGGAGTATGGTGGGCTTGGGGCTAGAGCAATAGCTCTGGGCCCCTATAGCCCTCCAAGACAGGCAGGAGCTGCACCTTGTGGGGAACTGGAAGTAACTAGGCTGTGTCCTATGTTGCTTCTGGGACTGCAAGGTAAGCTAATGCTGCTTGAGTGTGGGCTTTCCACTCCATGTTTTGCTTTCTTTCTCTTTATTTAAAAAATTTATTTAACAGAAATTCTAGGGTCACAGAAAACTTGAGAGAAAGATACTATATCCCCTTAGCCCCACTATTATCAAAATCTGCTACCAGAGTGATGCCTGTTGAAACTGATGAATTTACAGTGATCTGTAACTACCAAAGTCTGTAGTATTGATTAGGGTTCATTCTTATATCATACAGAGTCATTTCACTGTCCTAAAAATCCTCTATGCCTAGTTACATTTCATTATTGCCTTTGGTTTAGATTCCTTGTATTTAGTTACTCCTAGTTGTACTTTAAATTATTCTCTCTACTGCAAGGTAGCTTTTAATTTTCTCTATCTCCTCTACAAGGTACACATGAATAATGATGTACTGCATATGACATAACTTGATTAAAAGTTATGGATCATAAGGAAAGGAGATACCTTGCATTAGAGAATTAAAATCCAAAGTAAATACAGTGTATTCTTGATCTAAGACTTCGCTTAACAACATTTTTATTAGTAATATATCACTGACCACTATCTCCTATTTATTCTGTCAGCCTAAACCAATCTCAGCTTATTTCAGAGAGGAAAAAACTTCCAATTAACTTATAAAAATAAATTAATTCACAGATCTATATGTGAATTCCCTACATCATGAATGGATTCTACTATTTTTTTAATAAATAAATTTTGGTTATAATTAGCAAAGTTTTCTCGTGTATTTGCTTTCTATGTCTAAGGAACTACTGATAAATCAAGGTTAGGAACTACGGACAAATCAAGGTTATTAAAATTCTGTCAATACCGCTGCAAGGGAAGTATCATCATTGCCACATAATGGGAGAAAAATAAAGCTGAGAAAATGTTACTTTATTGGGTGCTGTCAAGTTTAAAATACTAGTTATAAAGTGCTGAATCCTAGATTTGGATTTAACTTCTATGCACCAAACTATGCTGTATCAATTATTTTGTTGATATTTTGTCTTTTTTCTCTATTCATATATATTTTTTATTTTTAAACATATTTACTATTATTATTTTTTTAACATCATTCTTCATCTTGTGCATTTCTTCATTTCAGTTGTAATCCCCATGGGCTTGCTGCTACCAATTTATCCGTGTGCCACCACCATAGAACAGTGCACTCTTCCTATCCCAGTTCTGATCCCATTCCCCTTTCATCCCCATAAAATGTCTCTGGTTTATAGTTGTTCATTGTTTTCATTTTTACTGTTACATTTGTTTCTCTCTCTCTCTTTCTCTTTCTTACCAGCTGACCCATTATTCTCCTGCTGTGAGTGAAACCATCTGGTGTTTTTCTTTTTCGTTCTGGCTTATTTCACTAAACATGTTGTTGCAAAAGACATGAGTTTATCTTTCTTGATTGCTGAGTAATATTCCATTGTGTATATGTACCACATCTTTTTAATCCAATCATCTGTATTTGGGCATTTGGGTTGATTCCAGAAAAGTTACAAAGACACTTCTCCAAAGAAGAAATGTAGATGGCCAGCAAGCATATGAAAAAATGTTCAACATCACTTGTAATAAAGGAAATACAAATTAAAATCTCAATGAGATACCATCTCACACCAGTGAAATGTGGCACAGCTCGAAACAATTAGCAATAAAAAATGTTGGCAAGGATGTGGAAAAGAAGGAATTTTCCTATACTGCTGGTGGGAATGCAAACTGATAAAACCACTGTGGAATGCTGTTTGGAGGTTTCTCAAACAGCCAAAAATGGAGCTTTATATGACCTAGCAATCTCACTCCTAGGTATCTACCTAAAGGACACAAAAACATTGCCTCAAAAGAACACCTGCACCCCCATTTTTATTGCTGCTCTATTTACAATAGGGAAGATGTGGAATCAACCCAAATGCCCCAAAATAGATATTTTGTCTTTTAGCCCCAGTTACTTTTTTTTTTTTAAGATTTATTTATTTGTGCATATAGAATTGGGGTACATGCCAGAGGCTTAGGGGCGGCTACAGGCTTCATCAGAGACAGAGTGGGGAGCAAAACAGGCAGACTGACAAAGTACACTGCTGAGGGGAGCAGCGGGTGGGTCAGGAGAGGTCTGCCGCACCATGTGGTCACCTCCGGGGCAGGCGGGAATCGAACTCATGCAGAGGTGGCTTTAGCTCCTTAGTGCTGTGCTTTAATCTGCTGCGCCACCAGGGAGGCCCATAGCCCCAGTTACATTTAAAAAAAAAAAGATTTATTTATTTATGCATACAGAACTGGGTACAGGCCAGAGGTGTCGGGCGATGAGATAATTCACCAGGACACAGTAGGGAGCAGAACAGGTAGATTGACGAAGTACACTGCTGAAGGGAGCAGTGGGAGAGACAGGAGAGGTCTGTTTCACCATGTGGTCACCTCCGGGGCAGGGCATGTGCTGAAGCAGCTGTGGCTAGCTTGCAGTGCTGTGTCCTAACCCATTACCTCACCAGGGAGGGCCCCCAATTACACTTTTTAAAAAGATCTATTTATGCATACAGAGCTGGGGTACAGGCTAGAGGTGCAGAGGTAGTGAGAGGATTCACTAGAAACAGAGTGAGGAGCAAAACAGGCCGACTGATGAAGTACACTGTTGAAGGGAGCAGTGAGAGAGACAGGAGAGGTCTGCCACGCCATGTGGGTCACCCCTGGGGCGGGGATCGAACCCATGCTGAAGTGGCTTTAGCTTCTCAGTGCTGTGTTTTAACCCTGCTGTGCCACCAGGGAGAGCCCCCCAATTACATTTTTAAACTCATTGATGCAGATGGCATAGACCGGGAGAGCTTCATGTATTTTATAGATGTTCCATAGTACAGTTAGATGCAGTGCAGGCACACAGTCTTTGTGGAATGGAGAGACTCAGGCAACATGCCTAAAATAATTTCAAAAGTCAAGTCACACAGTGTGAGGTCTTAAACATCCTGGGGGAGCCATAGAATCTTGTTTATTTATTCATTTTTCTGAAGGTTTTCTAGTAGAAGACATGAACCTAGAGGGGGCTGTAACATTGTCTCCACCATGCTGCCTCCTGGATTTCTCTCTCATGCTTTCTTTAGCCTGGAGGAGTAAGGAGTAGGGGTCTGGGGATATGAGTTAGCCTGACTTGAGAGTCTCTGTTTAGAAACATCCCACATCCTTATTCACTCTACTGTCCCCAACATGCCATGGTGTCACATTTACATGTTTATTAAGCAGGGATTCATGTGGGAGGTGAGTCAGTCTACATCTTTTTTTTTTTTTAAAGATTTATTTATCTATGAGAACAGAACTGGGGTACAGGCTAGAGGTGCAGGGGCAGTGAGAGGCTTCACCAGAGACAGAGTGGGGACAGAACCGGCTGACTGATGAAATACCTACTGAGGGGAGCAATGGGTGGGACAGGAGAGATCTGCTGTGATATTTGGGTCACCTCCAGGGCGGGGATTGAATTCATGCTGAAGTGGCTTTTAGCTTCCTAGTGCTGTGCTTTTACCCATTGTGCACCAGGGAGGGCCTACATATGTGTTTTTAAGTGACTTTAGATATGTGTCTTTTTTCTACTAATGTTAAGGAAGGGTAAAATAGTTGGTACTTTGCAGATACCACTACATTATTGCATTATTCTAATGCTCTCCTAAATGAATCTCATTTCTTTTCCTGTCTAGAGCATTCTTATCTCCTAAAGGGCAAGGAGGGGAGAAGAAATAAAAAGAGTAAATCAATTTTGATTTTTGGTACTTTTGAGATTCAAGATTCCTTTCTTCTAATACTTCTTTGTCATAACTTTTTAATGTTTTATTAAAATGAGTACAAATTAACTTCTTCACTTTTTATATTTGTTCTAACAAATATGCACTAAAAACAGAGGATATATATTACCTTGCCTGATGCCTTGAATAAGGGTTATGGAAACAGTGGAACAGGGTGGAAACACAGGGAAAAGAGAAATACTAGCCTCAGCAAAGGTATCTAAATATTATCAGTCTACACTAAATAATTCCTGTGCGGCTGGTCATGAAAAATGAGCTGGGAAGTGAGATTAAATGGGCTTGAAACATAAGGGGCCATGGTCCTAGTCAGCTGTGAGATGAAAGAGGAAAATTTTCCATAAAAACCTTATAAAAGATGAGTTTATTACTTTCATGGAGTTATTTTTCAGGGTCACTGAGGAATTAGGTATATGGGTGGAATATCCAAGGAATCCATAGTAGTTAATAATTGAGTTTAAAAAATCAGACAGTGGGTAGGTGCATTCTGCTGGGATACAGCATCTTAAGACCCAGGGAAGAAGTAAGAGGAGGGCCATTGGAGGAAAGAATGAATATGACGAAGTGGGCCAGAAAATAGTGCTTGGTCACCTAGCATGTCCTCTCTGCTGCTCTTGTAGATGGGCGGTGAACCTGTAATAAGACAGACATGAGCTTGATGTGTCCAAGGGGTCTCCTGTGCCACTGAAGCAAGGCACTGAGCAGCAACTTGTTACTTTTTTTGCACTGTAACTCTCTCATGTCTGACCTTGAACAGTTACAGTGTTAACCCACCCAGTTTCAATTTAAATGTATATAAGCCCATGTAGAGCTGCTAAGCTAAGTACTGGTACAATAAACCTGTTTCCTGTTAGCCTTGGTGTACTGGTTTCCTTACGCCATGTAACACTATCATTATATCCTTTTCCATTTATCCTGTAATTTTCAGCTACATTTGTATCCACAACCTCTTTCTAATTTCCTTCCTCTTGTACTATGTCTCAGGTGCTAGAAATATAAACCTTTACCTTTCTTTCCAGGGTGGGTCTCACAAGGGCCCTTGGTGTCTGGAGGTATCACCTGAGCGCAGGCCTTGGATAATGAAAGTGGTTCCTACCACGATGCCCACAAGGCCCACAGTCAACCCCAGGGCGCAGACCACATTCTCTGTCAGCTCCGACATAGGGGCTGGAATCTCAGGTTCTGTGAAAGTGAAGTTGTGGAAGTCAGAATGCAGAACTGTAGTTCATGCACATGTGTGTGTGGGATGAGATGAAAGGGTGATTTTTGGTTCTGTAGCGCTTTGGGACATCCTTCAGGTTTAGAAAGGAGAGTGAAGTCTGTCATTAAAAACCCTTGAAGTACTGTTTAAGGTCATGGGATTTAGGGGATAAAAGGCAGGTTGTTCTAGAATTTGGGCTTGACAGAGGAAAGAAGATAACAAAAATGTAGAACTCACACCTACCCCAGTGTTTCAGGAGTGGCTCCTCCAGGCCCCAGTGCTCCACCTTGCAGTCATAAACATCATTGTCAGAAGGGAGGAAGGTGAGGTAACTTGTCTTGAAGAAGGCATGATCACTCCTGGGGAGGAAGCTGGTCTCAGATACACCCTCCGTGACTGAATGTCCATTGACCAACCATGTGATGTTGATAACCGGAGGGAAGATGTTGTCCACAAGACATATGAGGGTGTTGGGCTGAGTCAGTGTCACAGGAGACTTGGGGAACACAGTCACCCCAGGAACCTCTGTGGTGAGGAAACAGACTGGTATGAGCTGTGAACAGCTCTGCCCTGAGTTTTCACACCACATCTTGGAAGAGCCCTCCCCCTACATCTCTCCATCTGTTAAGGAAAGAGGTCTTGTTTTCTTTCTGCTTGAGAAACACTATACACCCTCTCTCTTTTATCTCAGTATCCGCCGTTCTGTGGGCCTGTTTGTTAAGGCAGGGAGGGGATCTTTGGGATCTTTCTTTTAAAGATTTGAGGATTGTGTTATGAGAGTAAAGATCCTGTATTAAATGGAACTATGTAATCTGTGAGAAGGGGGAGGATGATTGCTCAGTTACTGTGAGATAACTGGGGACTCCTTACAAAGGTGAATTTTATACAGTGGTGAGTATTTATCTTGAGGGAGGAAGGGAGTAAAACCTGTATAGAGAATAAATTCAGTAAACAGGTGAGTACATACTATTGGCAGCAGCAGTAGAGTTGGAACGTTTAATCATGATGTCCAAGTTGTATTTTGCTGTAGCGATGTTCCTCAGTGCACCCTGTGGGTCAAATCTTCTAAATTGGCTAAACATAGGCAACTGCCAGACAGTCTCCTTCTTCTCCAGATCCACAAAGAACTCCTCATCTCCATCAAATTCATGGGTGTACTGGCCAGTGGAACCATAAGTCTGGTAGACATTTGTGCCGTAGGAGGCAACGTGGTCAGCTGACAAGTGAGGATGATGATGGAGGAAATTGGTAAACAGAGAGAGAGAAAAGAGCATTATAAAATCAAGGGACCAAATAAACTGACTATCAAACATTGTTGGCTCCATCTTTGGCACAATCTTTAGGCAAAATTCCCAGCACCTGTTTCTCCCCCCCTCAGTTTTGATAGTTGTTCAGTTAAAATCAGGTTGTCTCTGTACTATAAAGTACCTAGGACAGAATTTCACAGGCCTTACTGACTGCTAACCCCAGTGTGCCTAGCTCAGTGCTTGGCATTTGGTAGCCTTGTGACAAAGATTGTAATGGAAAGAGAGAAGAACCGAATGAATTATTATGATATTACCTTTCCTTCCAGAGTTTTCCTTTACTTCCTTGTGATTAATAAAATTTATCATTCACTTAATTCTTTTATCAGTGAATAACACACTCATTTAAATTCTGCTCCTCTGAGGACAACTTAGAAAAGAACTTTCTCTACAGAGACTCCTAATTCACTTTTCTTCTTCTTTGTAACCAAGAAAAAAATATATATACCCAATGCTAACAATTTAAAAGAGCTTCTAATTTTTATACTTATAAAAATGTATGACAAGAATAGCAATGATATTACAAAACATATATAAAAATAACCAATAGCCAATGTTTCTAAGGTTGCTGGTTGTTAATAATAGAGATCCTTAGAGCAGAGCAACTGATTCCTTCAGAAACTTAAAAACAAAGTTTCTTATAAGTTTTTATATTCTGTCATTCCCCTCCACTCATTTTTTTTTTCTGGGAGTTTACTAAATTTCTCTCTTTTGATTCAACACTTAACTGAGGTCTAAAGGTAAATTATACCCCTTTCCTCAACTGCACAATGTAGTTCTCTGTGGATGCCAAAGCAGAAAGGAAGCCAGTTGATGAATCTAATTGGAAAATTTTGTCAAGTTATCTATGAGCCTTTTACCATCTCCTCTTTTTTTCTTCCTCACTTACTTTCTCCCCTCCCCCTTTACTTACTAGGCATAAATAAGGGTCAGGCATTGTAAGTGACAAGGAGAAAAACAGCCATCAGCCTAGTCTCTGCCATCAGGGAGCTTACAGAATTAAGGAGAGTCAGGTGAGTAAAGGAGCAAGCACAGTACATTGTGGTGAGTCTTAGGGTGGATACAGACAGTTTTATATAGTCCAGCTCTCTCTGTAAATACCTTGTCTGCAATCAAGCCAAACCATCTTATCCTTTCATGTTCTTTGATCTTTGCTGAGGTCTGCTTTTCCCTTTTAAATAAAGTTGTCTTTTAGGATTTTCCAGGTAACTCCAATTCATTCTGTATCATTACCAAATTTTAGGTTAAATTCTCTTATTAAACTTGTTTTTGATCACATTCTGACCTCCAACTACCTACCCCAAAGTCCTGCTTTCCAAGTCTGTCTACTCCTTACCTGGATTACTCTCTTCCCTGACCAGCACAACCCTCTCTATTGATCATTTAGAAGCCTGTCCAATAAAGTCTATCTATAATGATTTTTTTTGACTCAGTTTTCAAACATGAATATATACAATCACTATTTTCATCTAGTCCTTGCCAAATACTAATGAAGAACACACTACTGGAGTAACTGGAATTGATTTTTTTTTTGTTGTTGTTGTTCCAGCCTCAGTTGAATTCACTGTCCTGTTCAAAAGGTGGTTCTTTTGCTTTCCTGTACCATATTCCTTCCATCACACCCTCTAGGGGACCAATAGCATGTATCTTCATCTTTGAATCCCCAAAATCTTGTTTACTCTGATTACATGGGAGGCAACACATATGAAGCATTTCTCTGCAAATTTCTATGACATGGAGGAAATAAAATTTGGAAGTGTCCTGGAGAAACAGATGAAAGTTCCATGACCAAACAAAATAAGAATGGGAGCAGTTACGGTTAATAAAGATGCTGAAGAGAGTAACTTTAATTTCACTCCTCCTTTGTACTGAATGTCATTTACTGTTTTTTAGGATGACAGAGATATTTGGAAAGACTGACACGCACAGAGGGAGTGTGAATGTCATAGGAACATTATGAACGTCAGGATCAGCTGTGACCAGTTGCATTATGACTTATGAGTCCTCAATACTGTGGTTTTTGTGAGTCTCTTCCTTCCATAAAAATTAAAATTAATATTTCATGAAATTTTATTTATAAAGAGAAGTATAATACAGTGTCTTCTGCCTAAAAGCTTATCCTTTCTTCCTATTTTGAGACCTTTTCATTGGGCCTTGCAAACATCACAGGCTGTGGGCACTGTGCACTGTGCCTAAGGGATATGTGGAGCCTGACCAGGGCATATGGTGGCATATGGAGGAAAGGAAATTTGGAAGCGCCCTGGAGAAACAATGGAAGTTTCACCACCAAACAAAATAAGGATGGGAACAGTCATGCTTAATAAAGATTCTGAAGAAGAGAGTAACTTCCATTTTACTTCCCCTGTGAGCTATTTGTTTTTTCTATTTTGTATTAATAAAACCTCCTTCATATCTATAAGAATATATATATATATATATATAATACGAAATAGGGAGATATCCTGAAAGGGAAAGAAAATGAAGGAATGTGTGAGATAGGGTGGAAAGAAGAGGACAGAAGGCCTTAAGGGACTAAATAACTCTCCTGTGCTTGCCCATTCTTTCTCTTATAGGATTTCCTTAAATGGGGTGAAGGGTAGGTAATTTGGGCTGACTATTTGAGAACAATATAATTTGATTCACCAACTTTTTCATCAGAAAGTTCTCAATTTTAAAATTCAAATAAAATAAAAATATATTTTTATTTTGTTATTATACCTATTTTATTACCATTATTCCTGTACTAGTAATAATTTTAAAACAAGAGTAATTATTGCCATTTATGTGAAAGAATATTTACATAGCTATTTTTATTTGATTGCATGTGAGATGACACATATGAAGCATTTCTAAGCAAATCTCTCTCTCTCCACCTCCAAATTCTTGTTTCCCAATTCATATCTCCACACCCCTCAGCTTTGTACTCACCTTCAATTTCTTCACCAACACAGAGGCTCATCACCGTACCCAGGGTGAGGGCCCCCAGAATCAGAGCTCTGTATGTGATCATCCTCTTCTCAAGGTGGTCTCTGCACTAGCTCGGCTGGGTTGTATTGTAGAATGAAGTTGAGGAGGAAATCTAAAGACGCCCATACCAAGCCCTGCTTGATCAGTTTGTAGCCAATCAGAAAAATCCCCTGTGATGACACCTCAGTTGCCAGTAGAAGACTTTGTACTAAGAGTCCTGTAAGACACAGGGAAATCCCCTAGTCTACTGAAGCCTCCTTTCAAAGTAGACCTGAGTGAATTTTCTCTTAAAAGAGGGGGAAAAAAAAACCAAACCTAGAATCTTCTCAAATGTGTGTATGCTTGATGGTGGTGAGAGAAAGAGAGAAATTTCTCAGCAGCCTCCATAGACAGGCCATCACTAATATCATCTCTCTGAAGTCTACCCTGAGTTTTCGCCTTCCCTGGCAGTCTCCACACTGGACATTTTCCTTGTTCTTCATGTGTGGATTAGCGGTCTTTTTGTTGTTGCTGTTACTTCCATAAAGAAATTGGAATTCTATAAGGGGATCTTTAATGATGGAAGCTAAGAAATCTTTGTCTTTTTAACATACATAGATGAAATTGAGGGAACTATTTTTTCATACCATCAGAAGTCTAAATATTTCCATCCAGGGCATAAAAGGATTTATAATATCATGTAGCAGTGGTTACAGTCCTGTTGATCTCTGAAATTTTTTTCTGGCTTTGAGCATACTTTACAACTCGTGGTTTAGTGCTGCCTAGGTTACAGCACCAAATTTAAAGGAAATCTGGAGACATTGAATAAAAGAAAGGTCTGGTTGGTTCAATTACTCTGATTTTATTTATTTATTCTTTACTTGAGGTAACATTGATTCACAATGCTGTGTATGACTTAGAGGTATAGGATCACCCCCTTCAGGTGTTGTTAGCCTGCTACATCACCAAGACACCCATAGTCCTTTACCATAGTCCATTGTGCTTCCTTCCCACTTTGTTCATCCTCTCCTTTTGGCTCTCCACTCTGGTAGTCTCAGTTCTACAGTCAGATTTCTAGGATTTATTATTGGTTTGGTTTTATCCGACTCTTTGTTTTGTTTCTCTATATTCCATATGTGACACCATCTGGTATTTGTCTTTCACTTATTTCACTTAGCATAATCCCCACAGTTCCATTCCAGGTTGCAAATAGCAAGAGTTTTTCTCTTTTCTTTTTTAATAGCTGAGTAATATTAAAAAAGAAAAATATACCATATGTACCATATCTTCTTAATCTGTACATTTGTTTTGGGGGCACTTAGGTCATTTTCATAGTGTGGCTTTTGTAAATAGTGCTGCAATGAACATAGAAGTGCATATAGACCTTTGAATCAGTGCTTTTGTATTCTTGGTAGATCCCTAGTAATGGAATTGCTGCAATGTATGGTAGATATATCTTTAGTATTTTAAGAAATCTCCACATGGTTTTCCATAGGGACTGACCCAGTTTACATTCCCACCAACAGTGCACGGGGGTTCATTTTTTCCACATCCTTGCCAACATTTGTTGTTTTTGGTCTTTTTTGATATTGGCTTTCAAACAGGTGTGAGATGGTATTTCATTGTCTTTTTGATTTGCATTTCCCTATGATAAGTGAAGATAAACAGTTTTTCATTTGCCTGTTGGCCATCTGCATGTCCCCTTTAGAGGCGTGCCTATTTATCACTTTTTGCCCTTTAGGTTGTTTTCTTTTTGTTGAGCTGTATGAGTTCTTTGTAGATCTTGGATATCAGCCCTTCTTAGATGTATGATGTATAAGTATTGCCTCCTATTAAAAAAAGTGTCTCTGCTTCAGTGCAGTTTCTTTACACGGAAACTTTTGGTTTGATGTAGTTCCAATTATTTTTATACTTGTTTATTTATTTATTTGTTTTTGCTGTTGGAGACAAACCACAAAGTCTTCTCTGAAGCCTACACTGTCAAGCATTCTATTTATGTTTCCTTGTGTATTTTATGGTTTCAAGTCTTACATTCTAGTCTTTTATCCATTTTGAGTTGATTTTCATGTATGGCTTGAGAGGTGCACTATTAGAATTCTTGTGCTGTTGCCTGTCTGACACCATTATTAAAGAAGTTACCCTTTTTTCAGTGTATGTATTTGTGTAAACTGTCCACATAGGTTTTATTTCTAGACTCTCAATTTTATTATCATGGTTTGTGTGGCTGTTTTGTTCTAGTATAGTATTGTAATGATTATTATAACTTTGTAGCATAGTTTAAAGTGTGGGAAGATGGTGTCATAATTCTCCCTCTTTTTTGTCAGGATTGCTTTAGCTAGTCAGAGTCTGGTGGTTCCATATAAATTTCAGTAATGTTTGTTTTATTTCTTTGAGGAATGTCACTGAACTTTGAGGGGATTGCATTGAATCTGAGTTTTGCTTTGGTAAAATGGCCACTTTACCAATGCTAATTCTTTCAATTCATCATCAGGGAGTATCTCCCCAGTTCTTCATGTCTATTTTTTTTAAACAATATCTTATAGTTTTGATTGTATAGGTCTTTCACCCCCTTTGTTAAGTATACACTTAGGTATTTAATACTTTTCTTTAATATGATTTTAAATGAGATTGTTTCTTTGATTTCTTCTCTTCCAGATGATTATTTGCATAAAGGAAGACAACTGACTTATACTGATTTTTACCCTGTCGTATTTCTGGCCCAATTTATTATTTCAGTTAGTTTTCTAGTGGAGTCTTCTGGATTTTCTATGTATATTATCATGAGATATGTAAATAATTATAATTTTACTTGTTTTTTTCCCCAGTATGGATTCCTTTCAGATCCTTCTTTCGCTTAATAGTTCTGAGTCTTCCAATATTAAATTGAGTAATAGTGGTGAAATTAGGTATCCTTTGCTTGTATCAGATACTAGTGGGAAAGTTTTCAGTTTCTTTTTTACCAGTGAGAATGATGTTAGCTTTGGGTTTATCAGTTATTACGTTGAGGTGTGTACCATATATCCCTAATTTTGAAGATTTTTAACATGAATGGATGTTGACTATTATCAAATGCTTTCTTCCCACTGAATCATATGATAATTTTATTTTTAGCTTTCCTTTTTTGATAAGGTGAATTTTTAAAATTTTATTTTTAAAATCTATTGAGATAAAAATTTCGCATCACTGTTCATTTTGGTATAATGTATGCTTTCTTCTCTCATGTGTAGTCCCTGTAAAATTCCCACCAACAATTCACCCATGAACATCACTATAGTCCTTTGTGTTAGTCCCTCCTTTGTTTTGATCCCTATGCCTCTCACTCCCTTGCGGAATGTCTCTGATTTATAGTTGCGAACAAATTTTGTTTATTTATTATTACTGTTTTTTCCTGATCCCTTATTTGGTTCCCCTATATTCCTCCTACAAGTGAAACCATCTGATATTTTTCTTTTGCCTTCTGGTTTATTTCACTGATCATAATCCCTTCTAGTTCCATCCATATTGCTACACATAGCATGAGCATATCTTGTTTTGATTGCTGAATAGTATTCCATTGTGTGTGTGTGTGTGTATACATATATAATCTTCTTGATCCAGTCATATGTATTTGGACATTTGAGTTGTTTCCATATCTTACCTGTTGTAAATAGGTATGCAATAGGTAAATAGGCATGCAATAAACATAGGGGTGCAGGTATCTTTTTGAATTAATGTTTCTTATGTCCTTTGGGCATATTCCTAAGAGTGGAATTGCTGGAAGTTGCCTCTTTTTTAAATATGTGTCATTCTCACTGTTGTAAGTTGATATCTCATTGTAGTTTTGATTTGCATTTCCCTGATTGTAAGTGATATTGAACACTTTTTCCATACATCTGTTGGCTATTTGCATTTCCTTTTTGGAGAAGTGGTATTTTTTTTTTAGCTCTTCTGTCCACTTTTTGAGTGGATTGCTTGTTTTTTTTTTGAGTCATGTGAGCTCTTTGTAGATTTTTGTGATCAGTCCCTTATCAGTTGTATTGTGCGCAAAGATTTTCTCCCAATCAGTAAGGTGTCTTTTTGTTTTGGTTAGCATCACTTTGTGCTGTACAGAAGCTTTTTAGTTTGATGCAATCCCAGTTGTGTATCTTTTATTCACTTTCTTTGCTTTGGAGGATGTATCTTTAACGATGTTATTGAGACATATGTTATGTAGTGTTTTGCCTATATTTTCTTCTATATATTTTATGGTTTCATTTCGAGTTGGTTTGTGCATGGTATGAGGTATTGGTCTAGTGTCATTCTTTTGCTAGTAGCAGTCCAGTTTTCCCAACACCATTTATTGAAGAAATTGTCCATGTTCCATTGCATATTCTTTGCTCCTTTGTCAAACATTAGTTGTCCATAAATATGTGGCCTTATTTCTGGGTTTTCTAATCCATTCCATTGGTCTCTGTGTGTCTTATTTTGTGCCCTCATTAATTTCATTATTTTTCTTTCTCTTGGACTCTTGAAAATTTTGTTATTATGTGTCTTGCTGTAGTTTTTCTTTCATTGTGGCAGTTTTATGTCCTTCTAGCTCTCATATGTCTATTTTCATTTTCTTCTTCATGCTTGGGAAGTTCTCTTAGATTATTGCCTTGAATACTTTGGTTCCTTTGTCTCTCTTCTTGCCTTCTGGGAATCCTATGAATCTTATATTTCCTTTCTTCATGGTGTTGAATAGTTCTCAAAGTGTTTCTTCAATCTTTTTCCTTTGTACCTCTCTTTGCTTTTCTGTTCCCCCCCTTTTATGTCTGTATTATTTCCCCATTTCTTCTATTGTATTTTTGTTGCTTCTCCCAGAATTCTTGAGCTTCCTCACTAATCTCTGGATAGACTCCAGTTCCTTCAATTTCTTCTTTAAGTATTTGTTCTTATTTCTTATTTTGTTGTTTATATTCTTTTCTCTTTTTTCATTTTCTCTTAACTTTTTAAGTGTTTCATTATGTCCATTTTGATTTCTTTGTTAGGTGGAGATATTCTTTCTGTGTCCATATTATTGTATTCTGGAAGGTTGAATTTCTTTCTGTGGTATATTGTTCCCAGGAAAACCTGTTTGATTACTTGTATTTT